TCTTTATTAATTGAATGATAATTGTTTATTAATTTTTAAATTGAGTGATATTTTTAGTTTTTTTTTTTTATTAAAAAAAATGGTTTCATATTGATACTAGTGTAACCATTACAGGAACTCTTCTATTTTAATTTTTTTTCATGTAATAAATTGGGTGACAACCACCGTCCAAAGAAAACAAAGAGATGCAAAGTAGATTGGCACACTCAAATTCTATCCGATAACAATCATTAACAAAGACAATTTTTGCAATTTTTGCAATAATTGTATAATTCCAGAACTCCGATCTATTCTAGGGATCAGACAATTATATATATGCTTCAATCGGAAGTACTTTTCTTTCTTAATTTTTTTTTAAAAAAAAATTCTAACAATGAGGAATTTGAACCCTAAACATTAGCATAGAAATAAGGGTGTGGACTTACTGATAGCTGGTTGTGGCAAGTAGGGGTGATAATTTAGATTATGACAGACAAACATGATTCAAAATCTGAACGATGTTAGCGGTTTGGGTTTACTATAAATATGTTTGAATCATAAACAAGTCGACACGATTAACACGATTAATAAACATGTTGGGTTAGAGTTGACTTTTTCACACGAAATGACCCGAATCAACACGATTAACTATATTGTATCGATTGTTTATTAAATATATTACTTTATATGGGGTACATGGGTTGACACGATTAACACGATTAATAAATAAATTGAGTTTGAGTTGATATTTTTGACACGTTTAATAAATGAGTTATGTTTGGGTTGATGTTCTTTGATACAATTAATAAATGAGTTGAACACGAACATGACCCATTAAGTCAAGTGCCAACAACCTCTAAAGGACTGATTTTGAGTTTAAACTCTCTATAGTCAAAGCCAAACTAATATATATTAAGTCATAACCACTTATGATAAATTAGGTAAGACTATCTCTAATGTGAATATTAATTGTACATTTAACATTAAAAGTACGATAAAGATATGTTATTTTCATTTGTATTGCAATGTATAATGTTATTTGAAATACTAAATCCACATTTTCTAAAATTATTAAGTTTTGAAAGTTGTAGAAGTAAAGTTTAAATTTTTTAAATAATTTAAAAATGTAAAAATTGAATGATTAAATGAAAAAGTAAACATATCAACCAATAACAATTAAATGTCAATTATTAAATGTTATATTTAGTGAGAAATTTTCCATAAAATTATAGCATATGATAAATTTAGCACAATAAATAACATTATATTGGAGAGATTTTTTTTAAACACTCAAATACTAAGTTTATAATTAGCACATCAATTATAACATTGGAGATGCTCTAAGTCAAAAATAAAATTAATCAATGGTTGGCTAAAAAGCGTGAAATTTTGAATCTGTGTGTGTGTGTGTGTTTTTTTTTTTTTTTTCCCCTTTTGGAAGGGAAATTTATCTTTTTATTTAGATATACCTATTAACGAATTGTTTCAAACCATATTTATTTTCCTCATTACAAAGTCTGTATGGATAAATATCACAAATTAACAAACATAAGTCTCTCTCTGGCTTTACTTTTATTAATGTCGGGTGAAAAAAATTGCTATTGTTTATATAGCTTGCAAACAAAAGGAATAATATCTTTGGATCCAACGTTTTTAGACATATAAGACGAAAACGAAACCTAGGTTTGAACTCCTTTGGAAGAACATGTATATTTTGTCACTGCAAATATATATTGTTCCCAGATAATGTTATATATATATATATATATATATGTATTTATGGTTCATTTAATGCCACACAAATATATATAATCAAATCTGAAACTCGGTGTGTTTTGTCTTATTCTTTCGCTATAGGTTTATATGATTACCTCATTCTCTTCTTTTTATTTTCAGAAGGTGTCCTTTTCTACACTTACATAATATATTTTCGAGTTAAAGTACTTTATAATTTATTACACGAAAGTTTGAAAGAATATGCCATATATATATATATATATAGTATGATATGGATAAAATTGTGGGTGGAAAAGAAAGTGGGAAATGGACAAATTAAAAACGGTAGGTAGGAAAAAGAGAGAAATATTCCAAGGAGATAAAAACATGCAATGGAATCAAGGGTTGAGTTGGACTTTTCGTGTCCCCATTGGTTTCCATCATTATGTTCTATTTCTTGGAGTCTTCTGAAAATAGAGAGCATAAAGATATGGCAAAAGGAGGACAATATATATCCAATGCAAAGTATATATACACACAACATATATATATATATATATATATATGTATGTATATCATGCACCAGAATTATTTTCCTGCTGTAATTGAGTGAAATTACGTTCTTTGACTTTTTCTATATTTATGACATGCATATTCCGGAAGGGAAAAAATGCTACCATATATGGCTAGGGGAAAAAAAAAAAAAAAGAATTGTTGCATGTTGTGTTTCTCAAACCAAGAGATAAAAAGGGATGTGTGCAAAATGCATGTTTTCGGAGCTATTTTTTAGTAAATGACCGGGGTTTTTATAAAATTAGGGAAATGATTGTTTATTTATTTAATAATAAATCATGGTAAATCTGATAAATTGATTTATGTATCAATTATTTTCTTTGTGGTGTATCACTTATATCAATTTGAATCTATAATTTACGAGTTTATTAACAAACCAATTTATGAGTGATAAATTATAGTATACGATCTGCTACCATAAACAAAAAAGTCATTTATCTAAAAAAAATTACGTAAAAATAATTCGGCCATTCATTTAAGAGGATGGTCAAAATCAGCCATTTGCCTAAAAAACTTAAAAGGAAAAAAATTAAAGATGGGATTATCTCAAACGAAAAAAACTTAAACATGCATATTTAAAATTCACTTTTTTTTTTAAGTGTGGAATGTGGATGAAAAACTGAAGATGATCTAGATAGTGGTCCAAAGGTGAAGCAAATAAGACTCAAATAGTGATATTTACATTTAGGAAAAAGAAAATAAATAGTAATCTTTTTAAGTATCGTTCATTTTACCGATTTGAGTTTAAAATTTGAGTTTTGTTATAATAAAAAGCTCTCAGAAACATTCACATTTAATTTTTTTTCTACAGTAAAAAGTTCTAACATAAAGTCACATCTCAACTCAAATTAAAAACTCAAATTAACGAATTAAACCGGTCTTTAATTTCTTCAAATCTATAACTGAAACATCCTAGCGTTTCCTTACTTCCTCAATTGATTATGTAAATAATATAATTTGAGATTCAGATCAGAAGAGCCAAAAACTATAAGGCCCGCAGGCATATGCTGCATGCCCAAGATGGTACGAGAGATGGCAAATTATGAGAGAAAATAATTATTATAAGTTTTCTGTCGGAACAAAATATATTAAAGTAGTGGAGTGCAAGCTTGAAAAAAGTAGAGATGCACTATTGTATATGGAGCTGGCTCATGGGCTACATGTACACCAAGTGGTGCTATGTACATAAACACACACATGTATATATATGCATATATACACACACACATATATATATATATATTATATATATATATATATACACAATTATTTTTATGGAAAGGGGACAATATTCGTTCAATTATATGGACGACCCAGAGACATTCCTTTTCCCTATTTTCTACCCCCATTTCCCCACAAGGCCTCTCCCTAGTCTGATGACTTATAATGTTGTTCTTAAGGCATATCTTTGATTTGTATACGAATCCAATAGTTTTGCTCCCAATGCCAACAACATTGTCATATGACATGCATACTATGTACAAAACAAATATGCTTGGTTTGTGTCGTGTGTGATGCCAAAGAATATAATTATTAAAGTTTCTTTGATCATATAATAATGTAGGCTGCAGCCAGCTAGTAGTACTTAATACTGTTGGAAGTAATATTCTGTACTTGGTTTTGTATGGAATTCTATGGATACCAAGGAATTAAAGACTAAAGTTATATATATAGATATGGAATATTGTTACTATTCCCTTGCAATTGTTTGAATGTGTTAATCAATTATGAATATAACATGAATCATATTGAGCAATAATATATGATGAACAGAGAAGAAAATTAATTTAGTGGAAGTCTCCCTCCAAGATGATGCATGCAATTAATTAATACAAAAGCCTTGCACACCATGACCATGAGCACAAATCATGGGTTTAAATTGCCATTATTTTAAAGAGACCTTGTTGATGGAAATATTTTGGTAAGGAGTGATAATGAATAATGCTAAGAAGACGAATTTCAATCTCAATTCTTATATGTACTAACTGATATAGTATGTGGGTTGTCATTTTTACGTTGACGGGTATGTAAACATTGTCATGTTAATTATTGATGAGAGATTGTAAATGCCACATCAGTTGATACAATATACAAGAGTTTGAATTGGAATTGGTGTCTTTAACATTACTCATGACTAAATAGGGGGTCACTCACTCTTTTTCTTTTTTTAAATAAACTATGAGAGAGAATAACTGATATTACTAGCAACATTGCAAATTGGTTGGAGGAAGGTCACTCACTCGAATAGTAAATAAACAGAGAAAATATTTTGATCAAAGAAGTCTCTTTGTAATATTAACACAATTTGTCCTATAATTAGTATTTATAAAGAAAGCTTGATATCTTTTATTTCAAACTAAAGAGATCCTTTGTGATACATGATCATTATTGGGGACAAAATATAAGATCGCTTTTCCTTTTCCTATCTTTGAACCTGAAAAATTGCAATTATCAAACGTCAGCCATTAGTATTTTATTACCCTTAGATGTTGTCAGGCTCTGCATGAGAATACAATCAAACACCTTATAATATTAGCTAGGATCTTATATAAACATTGCACAGTGACTATAAAACTGTACAATTACCATAACATTGGTCACCTGATCGATGATTTCCTAGCTAATTAGCTCAATATTGATTCCCTAGGGAATTCCTCCATATCACCAAGAAAAAATCACTAGGCCTTGTTGAAGTCAATCCCTCTTATAATTCCATGGAGATCATGATCAATATGGAACAAAACAATAGTACTCATGATCAGTTGCAACTTCCTCCGGGATTCAGATTTCACCCGTCGGACGAAGAGCTCATCGTCCATTACTTGAGAAACAAAGTCGTTTCTAGGCCGCTTCCCGCGCCCTCCATAATCACCGATATCGATCTCTACAAGTACAATCCGTGGGAGTTGCCGGGTAAGGCTTCCTTTGGTGATGAAGAGTGGTTTTTCTTCACTCCAAGGGACAGGAAATACCCTAATGGAAGCAGGCCTAATAGAGCAGCTGGTTCCGGTTATTGGAAGGCCACAGGAACAGATAAACACATTTTTAGTACTTCTTGTGGGACCAAAAGCATTGGAGTCAAGAAAGCCTTGGTGTTTTACAAAGGACGTCCTCCAAAAGGAGTCAAGACTGAGTGGATCATGAACGAGTATAGATTGCTTGATTCAATGATTTGGAGTACTACTAGTACTACAACTAATCCCAAGAGAAAAGGGTCTATGAGGGTAACTTATAATAACAGTCCTAATGAATTGATTGATATATATTGTGGTGGAGAATATTTAGATGCGCATTTTTGAACTGTCATATCATATTAAAAGGATTTACCATCTTATAATACGAAAGTTAATGAAATTAAGCCTATGAGTTTATAAATATTCGCCAGTATAGAATTTTTGCAAATATATATAATAGGGATTTACTTCCAATATCAATTACGAGAGAGTATGTATTATTGTAGAGTATTAGCACTAATAATTTTTAGAAAATAGGGTCTTTGTATTAGGGTATGTAGCAATCACGCTTGTTCTCATATGCTTTGAGTTAGTTAAGGAATAACTGGATACGCGTTTTTGAACGCCAGATCATATTAAAAGCATATCGTATGAAATCTTTAACAGTTCATATGCATTATTCACTCGTGTTAGTTACAATTATATCTACTTTCAGTAGATACCAATTGTTGATTAATTATTTTGTATTTTTCTGTTTAAGTTGGATGATTGGGTGCTATGCCGGGTTCGACAGAAGAGCAATAACAACACGAGGAGCACTTGGGATTCAGATCGGAACTGCTCTAGTTATAATCATGATCATGATCATCAAAATCATAATCATAATCCAAATCAAACATGTTCTAAAAGTACAACGTCAACACCCAGCCAGAACCTGGAAATGAACATGATCATAGACTATTTGTACAAGGATTTTCCCATGTTGCCCTACATCTTTGCCACCTCTCAACAACCACTAATTCCTTGTGTGGAAAAAACGACAGCTTCAAGTACTGTGAGCTTTCAGAGCAGCGAAAATATTAATCCAAAACCTAGCAGTACCGGTACTTCCGTTTCCAGATATGATGATCATGGTTTGAAGTGTCGTTGGGATATGGATATTCATCAAGACCAGTCCATCAAAGGTGCCAATGATCATGATTGGAGTTCCAAGATCCAAGAGATTAGTGGGCCAGTCTATGATCTGTAAATAGCTAAGCAATTCATGATGGAGTATCTAGCTTTATAGCATGATTGGGTATTGTTAATTTGCTAGCTAGTTAATTATTTGATTATATCTATATATATATATATATAGATATAGATACACACACATACCATTTCGTCTTATGTGAATTATAGGCTCTCTCTGTTGCTTCTTGTATTATAGTTTGTGGCTGTACAAAATAAAGTCAATAGAGAAAATATTTCTCGGCAGTACTGATGATGCCATAGATCAAAACGACAATACCATATGAAAGGCAGTGGGAAACGACACTATCCGGAAAACAGAGAGAGGACATGGTCCATCCATGTGGTTACAAAATATCGAGAAACGATACTCCATATTACAGGCCGGTCAAGGAGATCAACTAAATAAAGGAGATGAATTGAAAACGACATCCAAATAGAAAACGACATTATCTAAAAGAACCAACTAGCTCAAAACGACAAAACCCCTGAAAGGACAGGGGAAAGCGACACTTCCGCGAAATGAGATCACGGTCCATGTGGAAAAGGACAAAATACCGAGAATCAAAGGCCGATATTTACCACAACAAATACCTCAATGGCCGATAAACGACATTACCATAGAAAGGACAGGAAATAACAATAATACGACATAAACATAAAAAAGGCATCACACGAATGAACGACAAGATTGAGAAACGAGAAAAAGTTTGAGAAACGACAAACGACGTCAACTCTAGAGAATATATTACAAACGGGAACACGTACACGTAAACGACAAAAAATTAAAAACGACAGCGTACAAATAAACGACATGAACTTTGATAAACGACATCAACTTCAAGAACCCATAAAGGTTGTCAGAAATTGAAAACGTTAAACATGCTTAAAAAAAATCACCTCCTTGAGAGAGACTGGTGGGGAAAAATGGAGGTATCATCTTATTAAAGTATGTTCTGACAAACAAAAATTGAGAATATCCTATTAGTCAACAACACTTTAATAAGGAAAATGAAATTCATCCTAAAAACGACAAGATACAAAAGCGTTGTCCAAGATTCAATCAACGACAATTATATAAAAATAAGGTCATTTTCATTGAACAAATAACAAACCGCAAAAAAGTTAAAAATTATTTATACATTGATGTTGATGTCCTACAGCAAACCAAAAGTTAAATGCAAGTTTAGGCAAAGTCTCTTAAGCAGTAAACTTTAACTGTGGAATAATAGAGATCAAATATACCAGACTCTCACGACAAGGGAACAATACCACAACCAAAAACACTTGGAACAGTGAGACTTGGCTCATCTCACTTCTTCAATACACTGCAAGTGAAAAATGTTGCATCAGAATAATTCGTGTAGAATATTTAACATAAATAAGAGCAAGATATCAGCCCACCCATCATCAAAAACGCCAAACTTTCAAATACATGATAAGAGCTAAGAAACTAAGAGCCCGTTTGGTTCATGGATTATAACCATGAGATTATAACCATTTTCGATTTACGTGTGTTTTTTATGAGAGAAAATATTGTAGCGAACCATGAACTATGATTCGAATTAGAGAACGAATCCTCTAACCAAACGGGCTCTAAAATTTAATAGGATGACAGTTTCAACAGTTTGAATTTATTCAACCAAATGGTTTCCATTCTCTAATTCTTTTTCAAGAATTTAGTAAAACTAGAGTTGCACTTCTCATTCTCGAAGGAAACAAAAAAAAAAGATTTCCAAGAAGTTGAAGACAGACGATGATGGAAAGCCATATCCTCTATGATTGCGGAAGTCTAACAAATAAGTTCAGGCAAAAAATAACCCAGAATAAAAACTCTAATGTATCCTGAAAAATGCATTAACGCTTTCCTTCAATCCTCAAGAATCTTCTTCTTTTTCCTTTATTTATTTATCTATTTATTCTTATTATTATTATTTTGGCTTCAAAGACGGGCATAAATTGCTAAACGTCAATATGTTACTCTAAAGCACAAGTCCTAATCCAACACATTGACAATACATGATTTTAATATAGCTATACGCCAGATAGGAACTTACTTGTATAAATAAGCAGCAATTCCCAGAACTATAATCAGCAAAACAATATCAATACAGAAATTCCGGCTGGACCTCAGCTGGGTGGACAAAAAAAAATCAGCTTAGATGTGAAAGAAGGAAGCCTAATAATAGGAAAAGTTAGCTAACTAATAAAACTTGAGGGTCAGTACCTGGTTGACAGTGTCCTTGAGCCTGACATTTGTGTTTTTAAGATCAGATGCAGCTTTGTCTACCTGTAAGAGATAAGACCATTACATAATACTCTTCAAAAATCAAATCAGAGCACTCTAGAAAATTTGTTTGAAGGACGACATATATCACCTTAGTGTCAATCTCATCCATCAAAGGCACTTGCCTATCCAGCTCCTGATTGCATCATAAACAACGTAGTGAGTTCGAAAGAGTATCATACAATCCCTGCAGCAAAAAGCAACAAGAGACAACTAACCTCGTTCATATCGTGAGCCATATTTTTCAACGTATCCAAACCTTCTGCTATCATATCCAACCCTTGGTCCTGTGCAAGCGTAAAAAAGATAGTAAAACGCCAAACCATGCCCTAAAAGAGTTGTCACACATCTAAAATGGAATCACTCCTCCTTTAAAAGATAACTAAAATGATCTGTGTCACCTGCTTCACTCTCCTCGTTTCATACTCTTGCCTGAATTCACTGGATTCTTCAGTTTGTTGAAAGTATTCATCATCAAACCGTCCCTCTATCATCAATGTGAAACACATAAGCAAAGAAAAGTAGAATAATCAAGCAACACTACCCACCAATAATCAGTAAAAAAATCAAAGAGGTAAAATATAAGAGGACGCTATAATTGAAAACTTCAAACAGAAAATAAAACGTTAATAAATCACCTGAATCAAACTTGATTTCAGTACGGGAAGCCGAGGCCGCCCAACCTCCGGTTTGTTTGGGTGGTGCTGCTGCTGCCCCATCCGGGATAGCTTGTATCCTATCCGGCAAAGCAAGGACCAAATCATTACGAGCAGCAAACTCCTCACTTGATAACCCTTTAACCTGCAAATAGTATGTCTTAGTTTAATGCAAGCCCAAGCCCCAAACAGATATAAATTTGTATGTTACAGCTAACACGAGATGGAATTACACTACTACAACCAATAATCCAACAAACTTTTCCATTTCATCCCTGTATCCATCCACATTGTACGACTGAGATAATTCTCAATCTCGACGATAATTGACAAACAAAAGTTGGAACTTTTTCATGGAATTTTCCCAAGAAGCAAAAGTCACAAGTGGTAGACTGACCTTTTTTAGAGCTAACCTCTGCAATTTCGGAACCTCCTCAAGCAACCGAGCCTTGATCCGGCGAATTTCTACATTCAATGTGACCGCTGATGCTCTGCTTTTCTCCTTTGAAGCGACTTCGGCTTTCTGCAAATCAATTCATACCGAAGTTCAATTCAACATGAAAATCAAAACCCTGATTAACCCTAAATTCCCAGCGCACTAATTTCACTTAAACGACCTTAGATAAGCTAACATTAAATCATGTCCCAAATTCACTCAACTTTTCCTCCTTTATTCTCCTTTCTACGAACTTTCTCACCAAACAAACAGCAACCCAATCAGGAAAACATCTACAGAACAGAATATGGCGAGTAATTCGATTCGGCATGAGAATGAAAACCCTGATTAACCCTAACCTCCCAACGTATTCCACTCAAACGAGCTCAGATCAGCTAATACCAAATTAGGTCCAAACTTCACCCTACTTTTCCTCGTTTACTCTCCTTTCTACGAATTTTCTCACCAGTCTAATCAGGAAATGGTCTACAGAACGAGTCGTCTAGAGTAATTCAATGCAACGAGCGAACCATAACCCTAATCAACCCTAAACTCCTCCTAACAAATTCCAGTCAAACAAGCTCGGATCAGCAAATACCAAATTAGGTCCGAACTTCACTCTGTTTTCTTCAATTTCTCTCCTTTCTACGAATTTTCTCAGCAGACTAATCAGGAAAACTTCTAGAAAACATATGCAGAGTAATTATTCGACGCGAGAGCCAAAACCCTAATAACCGAAATTCCCGACGAATTCCACTAAAACAAGCTCGGATCAGCTAATATCAAATTGACTCCAAACTTCACAATGCCTCTTCTCAATTACTTTCCTTTCTCAGAATTTTCTCGGAAACCAAACAGCAACCTAATCAGGAAACCATCCACAACAGATCAAAAGATGGAGAGAACAGAAATTGGAGTGACCTGAAGAGCAGCCTCGATGTCAGCCTCGACGACGGCGTAGAGGCGGGCGAAAGCGTCGTCGCCGGATACATTGAGATCCTTCTGCTTCTCGACGTCGTACTTGTCGTACTTTTTGCAGATCGCATCGACTCTGGTCAAGATATCGATCACGCTCATCTTCTTGATCTTCTTCTTCAAACTTTTTCCTTCTCGATTTTTCTGGAATGAATCTGATCGGAAACTTTTCTTCTCTTTCGGTCGGCGATGAAAATTCGGTTCTTCAAAGGCGAGTTTTTAGTGAATTTTTGCGATGTCGCCGTGGTGGTTACTAGCAAATACCGCTGTTTCAAACCCAAAGCCACAGCCTGTATGAAATATTAAATTAATTTTACTAATAATTTTTTTCCTCACATAATTTTCAGGATTGTTAAAAACAGTTCTTAGTATTTTGATTTTTTTTCCGAATTACTATCTGAATTTTTATTTTTTATTTTTTTAACAGTTTTATTCCCTCGATTATATGGTGTTGAAGTTTTACATAAACACGCTACTCGATAAATTAGGACATATTTGGTAGCTTATATTGTATTGTATAAAAAATATTGTATTGTGTCATATTGTGTTGTATTATCATAATATAATACAGTGTTATCATAATACAATACAATATTTAGTATCATGACGTATTGTATAAGGGGTTAAAATGTAAAATTTTAAGAATTTTAGGATCAAAATGTAATCTTTTAAAAATATTGGGAGCAAATATAATTTGTAAAGAATTTTGGGGTCAAAATGTAATGGTATAAAAATTTTGAGATCAAAATGTAGTTTTATTCAAATTATAGGGTCAAAATGTAATTTTGTAAAAAATATGGGTCAAAATGTTATTTTTATAAAATATAAATTTGCATTAGCCCCCCCTCCCCCCCAAATTTTTTAATCAATTATAGACTCCGGCATGATTCTATGTCGGCCCGACTTTGACTCCCAGTCGTGCCTAACCTCAACATGAATTATGAATCCGCTATAAAATAATATAATATAATACGTCAAAAATGACTCATATTCAATAATACGACATATACCATATTAATTTATCATCCGTATTAATTTATACAATATGATGCTCACACCAAAAATTATATTGTTGTGTTATTATACAATACATCATACGACACTCTAATACGACTAAATAAACATGGCCTTAATATTTTCATTTAAATAATATTTTTAACCGGTCTCTACTTTATATAATATGGTAAATTATTATTCAATTAAACGATTAATTAATAAATTTTCATAGTCCCAAGATATTAATTTATAGATGTTTTAACTTTAGATGTAAAAGTATAAAATTATTATCGCCATCATTAACCTACCTCTAAACATTCTTATCCTTTCTACGGTGTGAATGTGATAACTTGAAGTTTTACGACACAAGTGGGTGATTTGATATTTTTTGGACAAAACAGTGCAGTTTTAAAAAAGGACAATTTGAGAAAAACCTCAACCAACATGACGAGGCGGTTTAAGGTATGCGGGTCATGAGCGGTTTGATCGATCCGACCTGATTAGGCTTTTGATGGAAAATGTTAAAAAAATAAATAAAAGACATAAAACTAATTTTGTTGTGTATTTTTACTATGTTGTGAGGATAGTTATTACTAATTTACTGTCTTTTTTAAGCTAAAAAAGATTATCCATAAAAAAAATAATGGTTCATATTTCATAAATTCATGCTTCATAGTATATAAGATAAAGTTGCGGGATAGTTTGAAACTGCTAATTGATGGAGTGAGACAATTTTAAAAGAAAATTGTATGGGAAAAACCGAAACCACATTTGCTCCTTATGCTTGGCGGGTCGAGCCATTTAAAACCGCAATTTGGCGTTTTAATGGTGTGGCATGTGAATGGTCATGTGAGGCGGGGCGATTTGGTGGGTTTTTTTTTAACCTCGTTGTATTATTATAAGTTCTCTCTTTCAAACCTTTCATGAAAGGAGATGACAAGTTTTACATCTTAGCACTATTATTCTTCCTCTTGTAATGATTCCCTCACAACCTTGGCAATAGACTCTCGTACCCTTATTCGGGTTCAATATGATTAACGATTATTTCTAAAAGAGAAGATCGTCACTTTGATTTTGGATTAAGTTACTTGAGCAATTCTTTATATTAAAAGAAAACACTATGCAACCTATTGTCATTTTTTGTGTTAAAGATCACATATGCTATAATTGGTGTTAAATTTCACTGTTAAATTTCACGCCATATTTAAAGTGGTGTCATTAGAGTCCAAAGGAGCGTTTGGAATTCGTTCTAAAATGATTTTATTTTTTGTATGAAAATGAAAATGAAAACGTTTTCAATCTCAAACAGAAATCATTTTTGAAAATGCCTTTGGTAGTTTTATCAAGAGATTATTTTCAATGCAAAAAAACTCATTAATGTCTCTCTTTGCTCGAGAGAGGAGAAAACAAAAACAAAAAATGAAAAATGACTAAAAGTCATTTTTCATTTCTCTCTCATTTTACACTAAACCAAAAAATCATTTTCATTTCTGTTTTTTGTCTTTATTGCGCCAAACACCGTTTTAGAAATGTTTTCATTTTTTTTCTCAAAAAACGTGAAAAATAAAAACAGAATCAATTCTAAACACGGCCCATGTCACTCACTTCCGTTTGTGCCTTGCAAGTTGCAATTCATAGGCAGAGGTAGAGTTGTAAAAAAATGGGTTGTGCAAATAGATCAGCATATGGCTTGCCTCTTTGACTTGGTACCCGTTCGTGTGATGATCAACTGTATATTTAAAATACATATTACAATTTGGGACGGTTTTAGCCTATAAAAGACTGAGCAAGCTATTAGGCCACTTGTGGCCCTATTTTATCGAGAAAATTACTGAACTTATTTTTAGAGTGTATGTGTATCAATTTTTAATCCTTACTATTGAATAACACCCTTTTGAATAATATAGTTATTTGACTAAAAAAGATATTAATTAAGAGTAATGTGTAAGAATCCAAACCCACACTCTAAAAGGGCGTTTGGTACGTAGTAATCAGTAAGAATCGTTTTACTAGAAAAGTGATAGAAGATAATATGATTCCCGGGAAACATGTATTGTCACGTTTGGTTATGTACAGGAACCAGAAACACCATTTTACTGTGTTTAGTTGCCTATAGTAATATAATGTATCTTTTTATAAAAGCAATAATTTTAAACATTTAAAAACCAATTAAATTTTGTTAATTTTGTTAAATTAGGTGATTATATATTTTTAACACCATAGATTTCTTTATTTTTTTTTCAAATATTATAAAAATATTTAAAAAATTACATTGTAGAAAAAATAACTCAACATTTTTTGTAATTTATTTAATAACAAATTAATTTGTTAAATTTAATAGATAAAATTACCAAGAAAAAAAAACACGTTGGTCTTGCATTTGTCTCTCACTCGTCTCCTTCCCTTACGATAAGGAAAGATTAAACCATATCTGCTTAGTGATGGGGTCGGCGACGACGTCAGAGGCGCAAGCTAAAAGTTGCGATGGAAGGGACTACGACGAAGGTAGGTGAGTGACATCGAGGAGCCTTGAAGGCGGCAACCAGCTTTGAGGGGGCCTGGGTTGGTTTTTGTCGTTGGTCTCGCGGATCCATGGCGAGCTTTGCCGAAAATAGGTATGTGGGCATCGGACAGGGGGTTGCGATGGAGACAACTAGATCTAAGAAGCGGCAACGAAGAAGAGGAAGATGATTCTGGCGAGGTCCGACGATATCCGGCAACTTCACAGAGCTCCGGTGATTATCTTGGTAGGGAGGGGGAGTTCGGCATCCATTACGAACATGGGCGAGCTCCGGAGATGAGTTAGTGGGGAGATGGTATTCAGCGGCCATGGTAAGGATGGTGAGTTGTGGTGGTCAGGGTGCTTCTACAACGGCGGATCTACGGTCGTCGAGATTTGCAACACCGGATCTATGGTGGTGGTGGTGGGGTTTGCGACGGTGGATCTGTGGGGTGTGATGATGTGCGATGATGAGTTTGTGATGGTGGTGGTCTATTGAACTTTTTCTCTTGGTATTCAGATTCCTAAGAAAATGAATTAACCATAGTGAATGGGTTTTTAGATTACCTCAAAATGAGGTAAAGTGAATCTCACTTTCTTAGGAATGAAAAAAATTACAATTTTTGTACCAAACATGATAATTTTATAGGACGCGTTTGGAACTCATTCTAAAATAATTTTGTTTTTGGTATGAAAATGAAAATGAAAACGCTTCAATCGCAGACACAAATCATTTTTAAAAATGCGTTTGGTAGTTTTATCAAGAGATTGTTTTTAGTATAAAAAAACTCATTAATATCTCTCTTTCTCTCTCTGCTCAAGAGAGGAGAAAACGAAAACAAAAAATGAAAAACGACTAAAAATCGTTTTTCATTTCTCTTATTTTACACTAAACTAAAAAATCGTTTTCATTTCTATTTTTTGTCTTTATTGCGCCAAACACCGTTTTAAAAACGTTTTCATTTTTTTTTCAAAAAACGTGAAAAATAAAAACAAGATCAATTCCAAACACGATCATAGATTCTCATTCTCACGATCAATATTATACACACCAAACGTCTCTTAAAGGTTCACTTAAGCACCACGGCTCGTTTTTCCTTCATGGCCCATGTGAATCGGGCCGGACGGTCCTCTTTACAGCTCTTATGATGGGAATGGGTGGAAGACAAAATCTTACACCCGCCGTGAATAAACCGTTCCTTGATTAGGTTGTGTATTTCTTTTACTTCTTTTCTCAAGCCTAAACCGCCATGTCCAATACACTTGTAATTGAGTAATAGGATTGGGAAGAAAAACCACAATGCCGCCACGATGACCATGTACAAAAGCCATATTGTCGACATGGTCCTACCCATTCCAAATTTACACGCAATTTTGACCATACGGTTCTCATTTGAAGGGAATCTATCTACAAGAGTTTCCAAATAAAATAAGAAGTAAGTGGGGAGTTTGGAAAACTTTCATCAATTTTCAATACGTCATCTATGACAACCACATATTTTCTCATAGATTTCTCATCCATTTTTTTTAAAGTACACATAGGTCTCGTTTGCTTTGTAAATTTAAATTTTCAATTCGAATTTAAATGTGACATTTTATAACAGTAATAAAAAAAGTTAAGTGTGACATATTCTGAGAGTTTTTAACTGTTAAAACTTAAAATTGAGAAGTCAAATCGGTGAAATGAACAACGTCGTATACATTTCTTTTGTCACTAGGTGAATCCAATCCAACACACAAGTTAGGAACATTTTTTTAACATTTCAACCCATAAAAATCTTCCATTATTTAGAAAGGTAAGCTACATATTATGCCCCTGCCCTCCAACCCATTATTTATTACTACCTTTTTTCCTTGGTGCTTACCCAACCAAAAGGTGTACAAACAAGTGAAGAAAAGCATATATTATATTAAAAAACATCAGGCTAATTATGATTTATAATGATTTTAAGCAACCAACGTTGATTTTGTCAAATAAATTGTGTAATTGCTTGAATTTTGAAAAAAAAAACAAAGAGAAAAAAATAAGCGAACGAAATCTCACATTACAAAGATATTTATGGAAAATCAATATATGCCTGCGTGTGATTTATGCCTGGTCAAATGCCCACGTGTCATTTTTACCAAGAAAAGAAATTCCCATGTGATTTAATTAGGTTCTGAGTTTCAATTTACGATTATAGATTCTTTAATACGGGATGTTTTACATAAATTAAAAGATATTGGGTATAACTCAACCTAATAAAATTAGCTTATTAAGAGAGAATTATCCTCACCTTATTAAGTGGATCATGTCAATATTTCTAGCCAATGTGAGATTTTAATACGCCCCCTCACGCACAGCGTGGACCATGCCAAACTGTTGCGAATAAGTCGATATTGGGGGACCTAACATTCTAAAACTGGGCATGCTCTGATACCATTTTACAGAAATTAAAGGATATTGAGCCTAACTTAACTTAACAAAACTGACTTATTAAGAAAAAATTACTCCCACTTTATTAAATGGATCATGTTAATATATCTAGCTAACGTGAGATTCTAATATGATGCATTAATTTTGAAAGAAGAAATAAAAGAGAGAGTCCCAACAAGGGAAAAGAACCATTTAAAAGGTGAAAAATCGGTGGAAAAAAAAAAAAAAAGAAACATTAAAAAAAAAACAGAAAAAAACCCCTGATGAGCCAAAAAAAAAAAAAAAAAAAAAAAAAGAAAAGAAAAGAAAAGAAAAAAAAGTAACAAAGCATTCGTCGCAGCGGCGACGTTCTTTGGGCCAGCCGTCCACACTCTCTGCAAAGGCGCAATGTCAACTAATTAGAAAATTTGTTTTAAGAGGTAATTAGGGAATTTCATTGGTATGTAATTATAAAAAAAATCATTTTTAAGCTGTTAAATTAATCACATATATGCACCAGAAATTCTTTAATCACTTTAGTATATATTTTAGGAAAGGCCTTTTTTTTTTTTTCAGAAACGTATAATAATTTTTTAGAAACGTATAATATTGTTTAATTACTTTAATACCTAGCACGGAAATGTTGATCGACAATTCAATAATATATTATATATCAATAAAAAATTTAAAAAAAAAAAGTCCAGCCAAAGAAATAAAAAATTAAAAAACGGAAGTAAAAGAAAAATTACGGAATTGATAAAAAAAAAAACACAGACGGGCTGTGTCGGTATCCGGTGACGGTGGGAAAGTCCAGCCAAATTTCTCCTCCTCTTGTTGTTATTTGTTCAGACAATTACACCAAGACCCTCTTTATTTCCATTTCTCCTCTCTCTCTGCAAAACAATCTTATCTCTCTTTCTCTCTCTAAACTTTTCTTACCGGCACCGGCTTCCAGGTATTTTTAAATTTTTTTTTTCCTTTCTTTGCATATATAATATATATTGTGTATTTGTATGTGTGAGTATATATAAGCTTATATATATATATATGTATATTTCGGGTTTAATATAATTCGCTTTACGTGCGATTTTCTTGATGTGTGTGGTCCGATCATCGTTTAGTTGATCAGTTATGGCGTTTCTGGTTTTTGGTTGATGATCGGTGTTGTCCGATTCGCCGTTTGCGACATCTGATTCGCTGATCGTTTTTTATTTTCTATTATTTTTAATTTTTTTTTTAATATTATGTTTTGCTAATCATTTTGGTTTTCTTTTTCTGTTTCGTGCATCGTAGTTTATGGCTGAGGCTTTTGTATTTGTGATTTTGAGAATTTTAACTGGTTAACAATGTTCCGAACTTTTGGATTTTAGCTTTTGTTTGGTTCTATATTCTAGGCGAAAAAGTATGGCTAATGGATTGTGTGGAAGGTTGTTATGATGCATGCTTATTTGTATTAGTTTTGGTTCTTGACGATGATCAGCATTTTTTGGGTAAATGAAAGTAAAGAATCGTTGTTTGGTCGAGTTGGGTTAGTAATAATTTTTTTTTTTTGTTCTTTTTAAGCTTAATCTATTCATTTATGGTATTTGAACGAATATCCACTGATGTCCATTTTACTTTATGTTACCTATATTGAGAAGGTAATAGTAACACAACTTGAGATTTTTCAGTGCTTAGAAATTCTGGGGTTTATCGAAGGCTTGTGTTGGTAAAAAAGATTTTTGAGGAGGAAAGTGATGATTGAAGCTTTTTGTTATTCAACAATTGCTAGATCATAGCTGGGGCTTCATTGAGCCGGTAATAGTAGTAGTACTTGTAGTTTCTCTCCGGATTCTTAAGCATCTACCGGGTTTAGATGGTTTTCCTTATGCAGGTTTTCCTTTTGCTGATGAAGTATAGTTATTGTTAACTTAACTCAGTTTTGAACTCGAGATTAACAATAATTAGGACGAAGTATTGGAATGATGATATATCTGATGTGCAGGTAAGTCTTCGATTTTTATGAGCTTTGCTCTTCTTTCATAAGTATTTTCAAAATTTTTTTTTGAGAAAAAAAATGGCATTGAAGGTTAAATGCATAGTTGAAAACTTTTTGTATAGATACTCCTTTGATCTAATAGCTCTCTTGTTCAGAATATTGAAGATAGTGAATAGGTTAGTTCTAGTCCGCAGTTTTCATATTCTGAATTGCAAATGGTGTTGCAGGCACCTTGTTGTCATTTGTACTTCCGAGGGAGGGATTCAGTTGAAACTTTGCCATCTCTACTGGACTTATTAGCATGACCTGTTGCCACTATTGAGTTCTATAGGCCGAACTTATTTTTTGGAAGAGACACTTTGGTACTAAAGATTCTATGTTTGAACTTTCTGTATTATGTAGACCTTGTTGTAGAAGAATTTAATCTAACAACATGGTCTGGTGGCCCATCCACCTGATATAGTGGGAGACTAGTGCAAATGAAGATTTACTGATGATGATGATGATGATGATGCGACGATTGTCGTATCATGGTTTACTGTTTAATTAGTTATGGGAGATGTATGGAGTGTTATTGCAAGGTAGAGAGAGTGGTCGTCATGAAAAGACGTCTAATAAGTTGTATTTTTCACTTCTTGAGTGATGCTGGTTGGTTGACCTTGTAGCCTATACAGTAGCACTACGATAAAAACTTTTCATAGCCTACTCTTCTTTCTCCCTACCTCCTTATATGGAGTTTTCTTTGATTGCCTTTTGGAGGTATTACTAAGTGGGTTTCATTGAAGGATCTACTGTGTATGTGTGTTTAGGTGAGTTCATCAAAAGAGTTGTGTACTTGATGGGATTTGGGGCAATTTGTACTATGGACTTGGGAACTTAGTCTATCATGACTCTGGATTGGCCAAAATTCTTTACAGACCTGGTTGCCCTATTATGGTTGTTTGGCATTATCTGCTGGTTGGTGCTATAGTTGCACGCTGATTATCAGATGTTGCAGCCTTGAGCTGTGTTAGGTGATTGTATCCTTGATCTTATCCATGCGATGATTACCTCACATGCGTAAGTTGATCATAACAACCATCATTGAGGTGCCAATGTTTCTAACAGAGAGAGAAACGTTCGATTCTTGAGGGTGATATAGGTTATCAAAATGGAGGAGAGTTGGATACTTGGACTTTGCTTGTAGTCGTTATTGCCTAGATGGGGGTCAGTGGACTCTGTTGGCTGAAGGGTTGGTTGCTTGTCAGCTTGGTTCACTAGTAACTGTGCCTTTGACGAGGTTCTTCTGCACTTTATTAATGGAGATCTTCAAGATTTTGTATATATGAATATATCCTTATTGCTGCTAGAAAATACTTTTACAACCATGCCTCTCTGATGAGAGTTTATGAATACAAATCGAAAGCTTTTGTCTTTAGATATAAACAGTTGTATCTTTTGGGAAAAAAAAAGTACAGCACAGTATTTGTATCATATAGACAGTTATGAAAGATTCTACGTATTTTATAACTAGCCATAATGGTCATTGAAATTATTAGATGAGCCCCTTTATTTTTGGGGGATGATTTGTAAGTTTAGAAACTTGATGTGGTTTTATAGAATTTTACAAATTCAACAATCTTTATGATTCAAGTAATATGCTCCACTTAATATGCTATAACACAATTTGTTGAATTTCTTATTAGCTAGCCGAATATGTCTTTTGATAGTAGTTTAATAGATTCAAGGGTAATTGTTAGAAACATGATTCGTTCATCTTGGTTGGACATGCTAACGATCATGCACATGATAACGATTTTAGGTGGTCCACATCATGCGTAGTTTGTATGTGCACGCCCAGTTTGTATGAATAACTTTTATAAGTGGTTTGATATTAAAAATAAAAAAAGAAGAAATAACTGATTTAACTTTTATAATTGACTTCCTGTGTTTATCTTATTTCAAGTCATGATTCATCTATTTCCTATATTTGGAATTTTGCGACTAGGAGACTTTTTGGTTGTTAGCTGATTCTCGTAGTGTATAGCTCTTCTGCTAATGTTGATATATCAAGCAACTTTCTATAGAGAGCCTCTGCTGAACACCAGCTTAGTGCTGGGCTTGTTTCCTTTACTGAAAAGGTTTGTTGAGACACCTTGCCTCTATGTGTTCAATTATGCACCTTTCCGTAGCTGCAAGGTTCTGTTCAATATATCTTAGTCCTTATTTTTCCCAATCACTGGGGTAACGGATTACCTTATATTTTCTAGACTGGTATTCAACTCTTTGGATGGGTACAGATGTGTCCCCCCACACTGAGAGATATATCGTCGATGTCAGTTCTATGACTGTTTCCTTCCAATGATGTATCTAATCAGTTTATGTCCATAGATGGTTCTGGGTGCGGGCAAAAGGGAAAGAAACACTGGTGTTGTTTTGGATAGGAAAATTTCATAACTAGATTGTTACCTCTTATGCACTTGCTTAGTTACCAATTATTCTAATTCAGGTATTGTCCTTTCTATTAGTCTCGAATATATTACGCATTAGTCATTTCTTTGCTTCCCACTTTTGAATTTCTACTTCTGCATGTGAGTATGACAGAATAGGTACTACAAATCTAATACTGTATTAATATTTTTAAATCAAGCTCTTTTCCTTTGCCTTCACGATTTCCGTATTTATTTCTCCAGGATAGGTATAATATGCTGCTTCAGATGCTTTTTTACATTATGCGAATTTTTTTATACGGGAGATGTTACCAACTGTTTCTAAAAATCAAGTTATTCTGCAATTTGAATCTGAATGTGTCTTCTGGTCATGCAGGGTGGTTTGCCTTTGGCAGATTCTGACTCCAGGACATAAATAACATCAACTCGGGGGCAACAAAAATATGGGACATAGGCATCTATTTAACACGTCTCAAATGTTTGACAGTGACCATGATCAAAACTGGAATCACATGCAGACAGAACAATCGTTTGGGCATATGGGTAACATGACTATAATTTATTACTGGTTTATCATCATTACTTTGTTATGCACACCAGTGTTGAACCTTTCAATCTTTTCTCGGGGCATACATTTTTTTTTCTCGCCTTTCTAAATTGCATGCTCGGGCAAAATATGAAACGTTACCTGTGTAATGCCACCCTCTACTTTGTGGTGTCACATGACATACAAATCTGATGTCATCTTTCTGTGTTAAATTTTCTTTTTTGGTGAAATGATTACGATGTCATTGTTGAGTTTCTATCATCTTCAATGTTTGTTGTAGAATAACCGTTGTTGCCATGGCTGCTTCTAACTCTTGATCTAATACTGCAGCCAGGGCCGGCAGTGCAGACAATGGTTCGTTCTTTTATCCAATGGAAAACATGTTTGTAGATGGAATGCATTTTGCTTCACATTGGAATCCTCTACCAAGGTCAAATGGGTTTTCTTCCTCAAGTCACAATGTTGAAGTACCGCGTTATCCACCCGATGCTTCAGGCTCATCTCACGATCCCTTTCAGCATCCATTAAATGGTGGAACCTTCCCTGCAGTTGCTGAAAATTTTGCTCACCACACCTCTTCTTCCAATTACGACAGGCAGACATTGCAAGGCGTTGAGGGTGGTTTTATTGATCTTACGATGGGTAGTGGAACCGGCCCTCACAAGCGTAAAAGTCCAGGAATCCCATCTGGCTGTGATAGAGGCAGCACAAGCAGATACTATGGTGCTGGGAGTTCTTCTGACGTTCCTATACCTTCAGAGTTGCGGCATGAGAAAGTAGGTTTAGATACACAGCACATGCCATGGGATCTTGTTAATATGAATCCCAATTACAGAGGACATGGTCTTTCCATAAGGGCTGAAGGATCTATGAGGAATGTGAGAAGCCGGTCTACACACGACTTGGAGTCCAACCTAGCTAGGACACATTTATCCAGCAATCCTTCGCATAATTCCTATTCTACAAACCCCATTGAGCATCCTAGCACACTGGATCTGTCAGTTCAGCCTTCAGCTGGATTGAACAGAGAGTGGAACCATTTTGGTATTTCTCCGCCCGGGGGTGCTCTGGTTTCAGGTTAGTTGCAGCTATATTCTTAGCTTCCTTTTTTTAATCGTGACTGGTATATCTTTTCTTAAGTGATACATATAGTCCGGGATTCATTCGAGAGTGTCTTTTTTTTCTCTTTTTTTTTTCTTTTAAATGTTGCAGATACGAGTGTTTTCAGTCATGAGCCTGTGCAACGCTTCCTTTTAGGAAGCAATTCCAGCAATGAGGGATACCATCATGACTTCATTCAAAACAGAAGTGGTGTGGTTCCTCAAAGCTATCCCGGTACCTCTACCCAACCCGTGAGAGGTGTTCGCAGCAGCTATTCTCAAAGATCCAGCCCAACTATGAGGGCTTCTTCAAGTAGCTTGCGGCTGGGGCATGCTGCTCCTCCTGATGAGGGATTGCAATTGGTAACTGAAAGTCACCCAAGACATCCTCGGCCATTGTCCAACATAGGGTGGCATAGTGCCGAGAGACATGGCAGATCCAGAATATCAAACGAAAGATATCGTGTAGTATCTGATGAGACGGGTTTCCATGATCGGTTTTCTACTGAAGTATGTAATTCACCTGATGTGCTTCCTTCATTCAAAACTATCAGTGTTTTACTTTCATGATCCAACAGTTTGGTTCATTTTTGGTTAAAAACATCTATAAAATCTTGTGCTGAAGAAGATCACAGGCAATTCGACTGACTGCAGAAGATATGATATCTTTTCAGGGTTTTATGGTTGTGGAGCGTTCAGCCTTGTATGGTTCGAGAAATATCTCTGATCAGCACAGGGACATGAGGTTGGATGTAGACAACATGAGCTATGAGGTAACTGACCGCATTCCTCTCTATGTTCTCTTTTTTTCCTTTACATTTTTGTGGGTCTTTGAACATCATGGATAATGTCTGAAACAGGAACTTCTTGCGCTTGGGGAACGTATCGGGAGTGTTAGCACTGGTTTGTCTGCAGATTTGATGTCAAAGTGTGTGACAGAAACCATATATTGCTCATCTGACCAAATCCAGGAGGAAGGGACGTGCGTTATTTGCCTGGTGAGATTTTTTTTTTTTCTTTTTCTCACTATTAAATTGAAGTTCTTGATGCAACTATTGTTACGGCTTAGACTCTAAGAGTTGTTAATAGGCTCCGAGTATCCGATAAAAGGTTTTCTAGTCATTACAAATACTCAGTCAAGGCATTAAAACTTGTTACTAATAATAGTCTTGCATACATACATATAAGTAAACTCATAAACATATAGACGCGCACACACACACTACTGGACAATCAGATTATATATATACATATGTATAAAAGTACGTTACTTGTTATTCTCTCTTATCTTTCATATTTCTAAACATTTTACATCGAAATCATATCATTAAAAAATGCCAAACTTAACGAAATTTGATGAAAATCTAATGGTCAAGTGTTGTGTGGTATGGGTAAGATTTCCTACCAAGCATTTTTCATTTATCATTTTTTTTTTTTAAATTAATCTTTGGTGCTGAAAAATACTTCAGTCAAATTATTCTTTTTAAGTGACTTTTGTAAATCTGTGGTTTAATTGACAGGAGGAGTACAAGAACATGGATGATGTTGGGTCACTGAAAACTTGCGGTCATGATTACCATGTGAACTGCATCAAAAAGTGGTTATCAATGAAAAACTTGTGTCCCATCTGCAAAGCTCCTGCTCTGGCTGATAAGTGATAATATGAAGGAAAAATAAAATGGGTCATTTATTCTTTCTATTTTTGTTTGCTATATATCATTGTTGTGTATATATTCGGATATGATCCTCAAATGGAGGAAAGAAAACTTGTATGGGATTGTTGTAAAAAGCAAACGCTAAGCTAAGCTAATCTGCCCATTTGTTTCAGGCTTCCATCTCAATTTTAGTTTTGTGAAGCCTTTTATTTAAAGAAAACCCCACTTTTTATCTAATTTTATTTTCTTCCAATTTTCAAAGCTCTTTTTTTTTTTTTTTATAAATGTTTTTTGAACAAAGTACGCAAGAAATCGGATGGTTATCATCATCATTTTGGCATGATTTCTAATTTAGCAATAATCTTGCACAAGAAAGAAAAAGATCCTTGCAAGGTTCTACAGGAATATTCAAGACGTGGAAATTTATACGGAAAATAACTTGTACTTCGCAAATCGCATGGGCAACCAAAAAAAAAAAAAAAAAGAAAAGGTGTATTCGCTAGCAACGTATTAAGAGGTGTAAGTTTAGACTACCGTCTTGGCTCGGCTCGGGCCCGACGACTTAAAGAAAAATTTTGAGTCGGCCTAGTGTGATCTTAAAAAATAGAGAGTTGATTCAGTTCAGTCTTAAGTCTAAAATGTTTAAAGGCCGGTCCGACCTTAAGCCTATAAAGTATTTAAATTTTTTTTTAAAAATATGATGTTCGGAACGGATCAGTCTTGTTTTAAGTCTAAAAAATTTAAGATCGGGCCGATAGTTACGGGCTTTGAATCGGTCCGTTTACCGTGGTTTAAACTTGCAGTTCTAATACTTGGTGACGAAGAGGGAAGTTGCATATTTTTGGTTTAATATTTTTTTTTCTTTTTAGTATAATCATCAAATAAATGCAACCATTAGTCGTTGAAGTTTATTAACAACAGTATTTGTGAAAAGAAAAAGAAAAGAGAAACAATAACCTAATCCGGGTTACTAGTTAGTAATTTTTGCAGTTGTAAAAAAAAATGAATTCAACAGAAATGTTACATATTGAACATTTGGTGCATGGTAGTAGCAAATATGTATTACTTTAAAAGAATACGGGGTTTCGTAACATTCATACCTCCTATGATATAATACAAAAATTAAAATTAATGCAACATGAATTGTGAAATCTAATATGAAAAAATAGAAGATTGTACCAAAAAGTTTTACTTAAAAAGGATCGTATTAACAAACATATCAAACATTTTAAAAGTATTAAAGATCAAAATTAAAGTCGAGATCAAAGTCTGAAAACCTGATCGAAGTTCAAGGTTTGAGACCAACATTGAGATTAGGGTCTAGGGTCGATACTGTGATTGAAATTTAAGATGAGATTGAGCATATATTTAAATACAATCTTTTCTTGTAACACATAAAGACAATGTTTTATTTTATTTTTTGATATAAGACAGGATTAAACCCGCAACTTTCCATCTAAACTCCTAAGTGCCATTAAAAGGTCTTAGGTCCCATTTATTTTATAAATTTGAGTTTTGTTATAGTAAAAAGTTCTCAGAAATAATCAGATCTAATTTTTTTGCTACAGTAAAAAAATTCTCACATAAAATCATATCTCAACTTAAATTAAAAATTTGAATCAACGAACTAAACGGACTATTAGTTGGTAATGCTTTATTTTTTATTTTTTAAAGAATTATTTCTCTGTCATTATTATATTATGAGAGATATACACACAATCTAAATCGATGACACAATTGACACAAAATTAATTTAAATTTACTCAATTTATTAAGCTTCTTATTTAAAATATAAATAAATGCGGACAAATATTTTTATTAGAAAATTTTTGGCAGATTTAATTTAAATAAAATATGAAAAATATAAAATTTATGACTTATATTTATAGTGTAAAATATAAATAAATAGATTCTGAAAAAAAAAAGATTAAATAAATAAATTAACACCTAAATTATTTATATTAAACAGATTAAATAAATAAATTAATACTTAAATGTGCCCAACTCCATTTTATTTGACAGACCTAATCCAATTATCCAACTTTCCCTTTCCACTCTTCCCGAATCCCGATCACTTCACCCAAAAATCTCTCCTTTTTCCTTCGATTTCCTCTGAAAATATGCAGATCTTCGTGAAAACCCTAACCGGCAAGACCATCACTCTCGAGGTCGAGAGCTCCGACACCATCGACAACGTCAAGGCCAAGATCCAGGACAAGGAGGGAATTCCGCCGGACCAGCAGCGTCTGATCTTCGCCGGAAAACAGCTCGAAGACGGCCGAACCCTCGCCGACTACAACATCCAGAAGGAGTCCACTCTCCATCTGGTTCTTCGTCTCCGCGGCGGCGGCGGTGGCGCTGACCATGGGGCTTTTCGCAGCCATCTACGTCCCTTGTCTCCTCATCTTCTGATTTACAAGCCGCAGCTCTCTTCGACCCTTTCTATTACCAATAGAATCTCTGGAGGTATAGCCGCTGTCATGATTGTTGTCGCTGCTTTGGGAATCACTACCAATTCTTATCCGATTTTTCAGAACTTTTCTCAATCGAAAAGAAAGGATTCTTCTTAGACCAGCAATGTCTGATCGCGTCTGATTTCGGTCTGTTTCTGTGTTAGCCATGGTTTCTTTCATGTTTTCTGTTAATTCGGTTCAATCGGAACCAAAATGAGACTCGTTGTTTCGCAATCGTAATAAAGATGACATTTTGCTATTTTGTTGGCATTTGTAAAATTGGTTGTTTTTTCATATGCTTATGTTTGGTATTGATTTTTTTTTTTTTTTTGATAATTGCTTATCTTTAATTCTAAGGGGTTCACTAGTCAAGTGGGTACTTGTTAGTTGTTATGTCTTTTGGTTTCTGTATTTAGGTGGTTATCTTTCTATTAAATCCGTTAAATGAATTTGGGTACCAAAATGAGAGGTTATTTTGTGTTGTAATAGAGGTAATATTTTGCTTTGCATGATTTTTTTTTTTAAATATTTTGTGTGATTTGATAAATTAGTTGCTGCGTTATTCAACATATTGCTAGTTCATAACTGAATTGGCTTCATTAACTGGTAAAAGTAGTACTACTTCTAGTTTAGATGGTTTTGGTTTTGCAGGTTATCATTTTTGCTAAAGGAGTATAGTTGTTAACTTAAACCAGTTTTGAACTTGAGATTAACAATAATTAGTGTGCAGTTTTGGAATGGTGATATATCTGCATGTGCAGGCGCGTCTTTGATTCCTATGAGCTTTGCTTTTCGTTCTTAAACATGTTCAATTTTATTAAAGAAACACAAATGGCATCGAAGATTATATGCATTTTGATTAAAAGTCTTTGTAATAGTCCTCTGGCCCAATAGATTTCTTGTTTAGACCTTGTTGTGGAAGAAGTTTGATGTGGGAAGATTTTAGCTATGAGCATTCGTTTTTATATTTTTATTATCGTTTGTTCTAGCTTATTAATTAAGCTTAGTTCTGTTATTAGTATGTTATTTATCTTAGTGGATATTTAGTTATTGTTTTTTAGGTGGATTTGGAACTTTAAGTCCAATTCTTTATCTGGGTTAGGCCGGTAAAACCTATTCTATTGGTTCCGCTGCATCAAAGTTACTCAAAAAAGGGTTTAGTTGCCCATGTTGAGATATGGGAAGACTGTAGTGCAAAGAGAAGATATACTCTAATACTCTCCCTAGTATCATGATGTTATTATAATGCTTGTCATGATGTTATTATTAATTTAGTTGCCCATGGTTCACACTTAAATTAATTATGGGAGATGTACGGAGTATTATGGCAGGCTAGGGAGAGTAATTGACATGAGGGGACTGGAGGAACTAATTTCTTGGATTATTTGACTCTTTAATCCATCACCACATAGAACTCAATTAGATTTGTAGTCACCTTTAAATTTTTTTTTTTTTTTTTTTTTCATTTGCGTAGATGAGGCGCTGGAAAGTTTGGGAGAAAGAGACACAAATAACAGAATACCTAGTTGCCAACGGTGATTTATTTATAATTATATATAATATATTATCTAATAATACCTTAATTGTAGCCTTAAGGTTTTAAATTTTGTTTTCTTCACCGTTAGAAATGTGGCAGTGTTCTTTTAGTTCTCAGCAAATATTATCTCAACTTAAGCCGTGTCAACCACTCAAACGGGATGCAGAAAAAATCAAAATTAAAAAAAAAAGGAAAAGGGACTGGGATTTTTCTGAAAGCCAAAAAGTAACCCCTTTTTTTTTCCCCCTTATAATTGTTCAAAAAAGAAAAGGTCTTTGGAAGACGATAACCCTAAGTTTGGAAGGAGTCGACAGGCTGATATTTTTCTAGTTTACGTAAGGTGCATGAACGCTCTAGATATTTTAGATGCAATTAATCTGAGTCTTAATTGGGGTGCTCTTACTATTATTAGTGTTATTATTATTATTAAGGAAAAATTTTATATTGGCGCTCTATGTTTTAATATAATTATCTTTTAGTACTATGTGTTTTTAATAATTTTAAATTAATACACTGACGTTTCAAAAAATCATTTTTAGTATCTTGAGGTCATCTTAAAAGATGTAAAATGTCAAATTTATTATTCTCATTACTTTACTAAAAACTAATAAATTTAGAAAAAATTATAAAAAATTATTTTTAGTTTAAAGCATTATTTTTACTTTTTATTTTTAAATGTTTAAAATATTTTTCAGAATTTTTTTAAATTTATTATTAGTTTTTTGGTTAATTAATGGGAAGAGTAATTTTGACATTTTATATTTCAAAAAATGACCTTAAAGTGCTAAAAATGATTTTTTAAAACGTTGAAGTATCAATTTAAAATTACTAAAAACATAACGTATTAAAAGATAATTGTATTAAAACACAGAATAATAATATGAAAATTTCCCTATTATTAATTATTAGTTTGAATAAATCATATTGAAAAAGTTATTGAATTAGAGAGTATAACAAACTCTTATTAAATTGTCAATGTAGATTGGAGACTACTTTTGTTGCATTAATTGGTATTGGAAAACTGGGACAAGCAACCTATATTGAAAGACCACAATTTTCAACTGGTTCACAATACTTTGACTTTTGGAATCAGAAATATGGGCCATGTTTGATATATACAGTTTGATGTTCATATACTTATTAGTTCTTATCAAAAGTCTTTGTAATAGTCCTCTGGCCCAATAGATTTCTTGTTTAGACCTTGTTGTGGAAGAAGTTTGATGTAGGAAGATTTTAGCTATGAGCATTCGTTTTTATATTTTTATTATCGTTTGTTCTAGTTTATTAATTAAGCTTAGTTCTGTTATTAGTATGTTATTTATCTTAGTGGATATTTATGGGTTGTTTGATTGAGAGATTCGTACTCTGATTCGAATCACGGTTTATGATTCCTTACAGTGTTTTCTCTCATAAAAAATACACGTAAATTAAAAATGATTCTAATCTCATTATTCTAATCCATAAACCAAACATCTCTTTAGTTATTGTTTTTAGGTGGATTTGGAACTTTAAGTCCAATTCTTTATCTGGGTTAGGCCGGTAAAACCTATTCTATTGGTTCCGCTGCATCAAAGTAACTCAAAAAAGGGTTTAGTTGCCCATGTTGAGATATGGGAAGACTGTAGTGCAAAGAGAAGATATACTCTTAATACTCTCCCTAGTATCATGATGTTATTATAATGCTTGTCATATTGTATCGTGGTTCACACTTAAATTAGTTATGGGAGATGTACGGATTATTATGGCAGGCTAGGGAGAGTAATAGAGTAATTGACATGAGGGGACTGGTTGTGAACTTATGACAATGTCCTTATTGCTTGGAGGAACTAATTTCTTGGATTATTTGATTCTTTGATCCTTCACCACATAGAACTCAATTAGATTTATAAATGTATAGTATAGTCCAGAAGAGTATGATGGTAGTTTTTTTAATATATTTTTCTTTCCAAAGATAATAGACATAATATAAAGATATTCAACGTTTTTTTTATTTATTATTTTAATATGATAACCGTTATGACGTATATCTTTAAAACTTAGTAGATTTCTTTTTCGATCTACTTGAATACATTGCGTCATTAATTATAAGCTTTGTGCTACCGGGCAACAATATATTTTAAGAATTGTGTGTGTTGTTTCACTGTCTGCCAAACAAAAGACTTCATTATTAACTTTAGCACAATCTTTGTCATTATTGAAATCCATATTTCTTCATGGAAAATAAAATAAAGAATTATGAGAATATAACATACAAATCACAATCATTTTTTTATAATAAAACACATTAGAAATAAAAACACACCAAAAAGTTATAAAACAAGCATAAAATAAAAAAAAAAAACGCCCGTTTAGTTCGCTGATTCGAGTTTTTAATTCGAGTTGAGATGTGATTTTATATGAGAGCTTTTTACTGTAGTAAAAAAGTTAGACGTGATTGTTTATGAGAGCTTTTTACTGCAGTAAAACTCAAATTCTAAACTCGAATTAGCGAAATGAACGGGACCTAAAATTTACAAAACAGGCCCCGTTCACTTCATTGATTCGAGTTTAGAATTCGAGTTTTTCTACAGTAAAAAGCTCTCACAAACAATCACATCTAACTTTTTTACTACAGTAAAAAGCTCTCACATCTAACTTTTTTACTACAGTAAAAAGCTCTTAACGGTGTGAGAACATCATTTTCAAGCTGTATTGATGGCTAATTAAATTCTCAAAATTCTCAAAATTCTCAAAAAAATCCGCAACATCTATGTGGGATCATAATGTTCAAAAAAGTTTGTCTCTACACCTTTTCCTTTTTCTCGTTTCTCTTCCTTATTTTTCCATTTCCGGTGGCCACACACAATTTTCTCAACTTTTGAGGAGGTGTGGTTATCATTACTATGACCACGTCTACAACCACTACCGCGTCTACAACCATCACTATGGTTTCGATTATTTTCTGGATCATTATTGCATAGCATTGATTCACCTCCGCGAATGACGTTGATCCAATTAATAATTTGTTTAGTTAGAGAATTTAAATTATGTGATTCGAATTATTTTTTATTTATATATATTTTTTATAAAAAAAAATATTATAATAAATAACGAATCATAATTCAAATCATAAAATAAATAAAATAAATCCCTCTACTAAACGCTAAATAAATGAAATCGTTGGTTTTTCATTCATAATTTATTATTTTGTTCAGCAACGAGAAGACATGATATCATGTCAGAATATTATTTAAAATCTCGCTGTTGCAGGAGTATATTAAAGATATATAAAGTAGAATATAACTATTCTAACATGTCTGCGTCTGTAATACTTTCTCCGCATGATTTTAATTCAATACTCGCTTACAGTTTTTAAAATCATGCAATCGCAATTGCATCCAATTATAGTGAGTTTTAGAGTCTGTTTCGTTCGTTAATTTGAGTTTTTAATTCGAATTGAGATATGATTTTATGTAAAAAAAATTTACTGTAATAAAAAAATTAAATGTGACTATTTTTAAAAATTTTTTACTATAATAAAACTCGAATTAATAAAATAAACGAGACTTTAAACTTTATAGGATTCGACATTCTCAAAGAACTAACATTGCATGTCAAGACGATTAATAAAAAATTGTTATCGTTATTATTAAAATGACTCGTAGGTTCTACGAAATCAACCAGATAAAAATATATATTGTCATGGTTATTAATATATATAATATATATGAAGTGATACGGTAATA